TATATATATATATATATATATATATATATATATATATATATATATATATATATATATATATATATATATATATATATATATATAATTAATTATATATAATCATATATATATTATCATTATATATAATCATATATATATATATATATAATCTTAATTAAGATGTCTCAGAAGGATGCGATGTATATTTTACTCAATCATGAATTTGTTCAGTATGACGCTTAAAATTGCAACCTTGGCAGTCAGTCCCCCTGTGCCTGTGGTTTACTGGTACTTTTAGGCTAAGCAGCCCCCTCACTGTTTCAATGGCAATAAGGCGCCCACTCTCCGTGGCCGTTGTTGCCATGCATTAATATACTGACTTCATCATGCTTTAGAATCGTTACCTTATAAGAGACGAAGTACTCGAAGCTCTTTTTAATTGGTTTTACATATTGACAAACATATTACACTGGAGTGTTGTTAGACTATATACAAAAATATACGAAGTAAAAACTGACCGCATATAAACATAACGGTGGGTCATCCAACTAAATTTATACTGATTTCGAAAATCTTAGACTTAGCTAGTGTGAAAACTAAAAGAAATAGTCCGTGAGCCCAACTGCCATATAGTGTCATTGTACATGCAGCGACAAGGTTCATTTGTGTTCATTTATCCGGTAATTTCAGATTCGGTCTCTATATAATAGTCTATAGAGTCACCCGGAACAAACTGAAACCTTAATAAGGAATTAATTAAATTTCCTTCACGGCTTCAGTATAATGGACATATAATGAAAATTTTAAAAACCTGCCACATTTGACAGAATAATTCGTATACTTGCAGGTAATTATAATACGAAGTCACAAGAATATAAGTTAAACTCAAATACATAGAATGTTTTCAATATAGTGGATGGTTTTTTTGTAGATGGAATTTTCGTAAAATTTATGTGAATTTTAGACATAACCGCAGGAGCAATGCGTCTAAAATGTATAGCTATAAAGTGTATATAAATTTACCGGTTCGAAAAATCCATGTACAAAGAACACATCTAGCTATAGTGCTGATCAGTATACTATTTGTCCTATCGAACGAAAGGCCCAAGAATCTTGATGTTTACTTATATGAACACTTACCCAATACTAAAACGCGTGCTCTGAGATATCATACTTGTTATCTACAAAAACGCACGTTATAATTACGCTTTATCCATGAGTTATAAAACAGCTAACACGGTTATAAACATAATAGCTAAAAATGTTTAATACAAGTTTATTCAGTCCACCTGCTAACCACACACTGGCACATATATACACAAAACATCATCAAAATTAGTCAATCAGACATGAATACAATTATACATGACCCCTATTGTTTTAAAGTAATAAAAATAAAATTAAGCTTAATATCTTGCCCAATTGTATGGCCGACAGACTTACTCTCAAAGGAATTCCTCCTAATATTTCTTCCATTTGGCGAGTTGTATTCTTCATTCTGATTCTGTTTCCGTAGACCGAGTAATAAATATAGACACAAGTACCACGAAATAAATTATTTAAGATGTTTATATCAAGTGTTGTGGCATTATACTGTATGGCTTTGTTAGGGAGCCTTGACCTTATTTTACATAACACTCGTGTAATCGTTTTAGTGGGATTAGAACCACTTATTACAAGCATTTAATTTCCATGTTTGGCTCTATCAATATGTGAATGACAATGTCGTTACGCCGTAAATACTCATTCCGCGCGCGGTTGAAATATATTGTGAATGTTGGGTTTTCCTAGCGGAAAGGATGATATTTGGCAGTCACGCATTGTTATACTGTACAGGGTGTCCCAAAATAAATGTATTGTTAGAATTTGAATGCCTCGATCAGCACTCTGCTGAACCCACACGTGCAGCAAAGTTTGACGTAAGTAAATTTTATGCATAAAGAAACCATTTAAGAAGCTGTTTTAAATTCCCAAGAGCAGAAAATCGTGCGCTTTACAAAGATATTTTAATTTCTTAATAAGTCAATATTTAATATATGCACCCTTGTCAGTTCAGTTTAGTGCTAGGGCATTCAAATTTTAACAATACGTTATTTCAATGGTTTTGTGGGGCTTTTTTGGGACACCCTGTATTACAGGGGGCATTTCAAGCCCATGCAAGATTAACAAAATAAAGTTTTGATGAGTGTTCCAACTATGTTTTAACTTAAATATATACATGATAGTGATGGGAGAGCATACATGCAGCTAACCAAGGTCACGTGACTGCCAACTCTCATTCACTCTTACCCTCATATTAAAATCGTTTGCCGTAAGACATATTAATAATGAATATTTAGTTAAATTTAATTATTTTTCTGTATTTATTTTTCTGGTTTTTTTCCAATACACGCTTTCGATATTACGTCATTTCGCCTGGCCTCGCTCTTATGGTGATCGTGAGCCAATCACCTTGCGTAATTTACTAATGAGAGCGAGGCTCCAAGACCAACAAGTATGTGCGACGTATTTATCGAAAGGATGTATTTCTGCAAAACAGTTTCAAGGCGTCGTGCCGCCATTTTGCATTTCCAATATGCTTGTGACGTCACAACTGGGGAACTGAACGCCAGTTTCACGGGGCGGGCCTTTCCAGTATCTTATCAGATACACTCTCCTCCGCAGACCCGTACAAATAAACACGAAAGCTAGCTATACCTTCGTGTTTAACAATTGTGTTCAGCTATACAGCTCTGTGGAGGAGAGTGTATCAGATATCTAAATCAGGTAGAATAATTTTCGATATTGTTAAGAGGATAGATAAGCAAAATGGTGCCTAATCAAGAATACGTATTTTAAAATGCCTCGTACCCAGGAGTTACGGTTGCCGCCAATGGTTGCCGCTTAGCTTGCGCGCGGGCGCGACGGCGCGTGGATTAACCCGCGCGCTTGATGCCGAGAAAGAAACAAACCAAAGCGCCTGGGTACGAGGCAGTATTTTAAGCCAGTACCACTAAACTCAGACTGGACAAAATAAAACTAAACGAAACTAAATAAATTTACTAAACCAAAGAAAGTTATTTCGTCGTACCTTCGCACATAGTCTGCTAGCATACTGATCCCAGCCGCCCCCCTCCCCCAAGATGAGCGGTTGAAATCAGTCTGATATCGCAGACTACTTCGTCATTTCATTCACAATCAGATCGCACCATAGACTCATAGTGAATCAGAGAACCACTGTATGTAAATCAGTAAATGTATGTATAAGTGATTTAAACAACAGAGGGATCTTGGACCCGACTAGGCGATTGCGCCCGAACTAGCCTGTTTGTTAGAAGTGACTAATGCTGTTTATAACAATACAATTGTTCGATGAAATCAACTCTAATACATTAAGTTACATTATTATATAAAGTATAGTGCTTTATAGAGATTTCGAGCACTGATACTGAAAAGTGATAATCTCACGTGTGAGATTATTTATGATAATCTCACATGTGAAAATTATCGCTTTTCATTTATCGCTTTTCTGTAAAAATTATCGCTTTTCAAAGACTGTCCTTTATATAATAAACAGAAAAATACATGGGTGCTTGGAAATACCAGATTTATTTCTCGTGTTGAACACGATATCTCATTCGTTCGCTGTGCTCACTCGTGAGATACCATGTTCAACACTCGAAATAAATCTGGTATTTCCGCGCACCCATGTATTATTCTCTATCTATTTAACAATTAGCCGCCGAAGGCGAGGTGATTAGATATTCACTGATCCGAAGGCGAATCACCGAGCCTAAAGCGACTAATTGTTTTTAATTATTTATAGTATAATTTCAGTATTGAAAAAGTTTTTTTTATAAATACAACTAATACACGTGTTTATTTTATGAAACATTTGCATAAATAATTTACTTCCGTGTGATTTTCAGTCATGTTTTTGGGGAAAGCATTAAAGCAATATAGTTACTGCATGCTCAGAGCAATCTGAGCGCAGTAACTATTGCCTCAGAATTACTGCTGAGGGAGCCAATCAGAATACTCAAAGGCCATTTCAGTTTCAATACTGAAATTTTACTAAGTCTAAGAAAAGATAATAAAACGCCATACAATATACTCGTACTTTCATCCAGTTCAGGGCCAAATTGTGCATGATCTTGTATTAATTTTCTATGACTATAAACATGTTAATTTCAGTGTTTTTGAGTTCTCAACAGCTGAATGAATCCAAAGTGAACGAAAATGCAATTTAGACTAATTATATATATATATATATATATATATATATATATATATATATATATATATATATATATATATATATATATATATATATATATATATATATATATATATATATGTTGTGATTTTGCAAATATCATAAACCAAGTCCATGCCGAGTCATAGAATATGACACAGGTTTCAATATATGCATGACCGAGTAACATCGTCTGAAATTATTCAGACTATAGCTGAAAAATCTCATTGGCAAGGCCAAGGCTAACGTCCACCCTATATAGTATATGTCGCTCACTCGAACAAGCCCGTTACTTTGTAATATTACATTTACTGCAATCTATGACTAACATTAAAGTTTGATCTTTTTACATGTGTTGTTTTTACTTTGAAAAAAAATATAAATCAGTTGAATCTCTATCTGTAGATCGGGAATTTTTTCCAAGTGCTTACAGCTTGTTCCGACTGCCGGTAAGCCAAACAATTACTCATTACACATGTTGTTTTCGTATACAAGACACTTTATCAAAACAAATAAAACATTTCGTTACTCTTCTCCAAAATGTATCTTATAAACACAGCTGTGAGCTGGTATACAGCTGATATTTTACAAAACAATAAAACTAGGTTCTGGCTATATATAAAGCCCCAACTAAAAATGAATTAGACTAAAGGAATACGAAATTTTACTGGCTCAATCATGGTTAACATAAAAATCGCGATCGTAGTTTGTGTTCTTGTTTCTCTATGCACATCCCAGGAAGAACAGACTGGAACTGTAAAGGTATTGTTAAATGAAACAAAGAATAAATATGGTGCTTTATACTACTAATACCATTTTAGTATAATTTCAGGATTGAAAAATGGCCTTTGAATAGCATTAATAATTCATGTCAAATGAGACCTACCGGTAACATAGTCCTCAGGTATCCTCAGTGTTTGGCCCACGAGAAAAAACTTTGGCCCCAATCACAATCCTGACCCTAACCTAGACTATTCTGCTGAAACCATAGTTAATAGCTGAAACACATGCATGAGGATAGGTATTGTTATATATCTCTTAATATTAATTTTAAGTATCTTTTTCCTGCGATATATATTATCATTCCAAACAGTAATTTAAGTATCTTTTTCCTACGATATATATATTATCATTCCAAACTGTAATATATTGATAAATTTAAAGTGTTTTTTGTATACCGCATACATAGGGAGTATCCCGTTTTCATTTTCAGCTGGATTTATTATATATTCTCGTTATAAAGTGTGACAATATAAAGCTATACGGATACACGGGCAATACTTTTCTGGCGATGGCAATGCAATGGTGGTAAAATCGTTGCATTGCCGTCGCGAGAAAGAAATTGCTTGTGTATCATGCTCTGCGACAGCAACGCCAAGCTGCGCGCAATCGTTGCCGAAATTTCAAATCATTTGATTTTTGGCAATGATTGCCGAAAATTGGGAGGTGTGGTCAAGGAAGGTCAAGGTTGATGAATGACACGTTTCTTGACCAGCCAATGAAAAGCGTTATGATAACATATATTGCAGGTGAAATATTGCAGGTGTAGGCACCTTGTGCGACGGCAACGCAATGCTGTTATCACCCATTGCGTAACCATCGCAGTAAAAATATTGCTCGTGTATCCGAAGCTTAAGCAAATTGCATGCGACAGTTTTAGGCAAAAGTTATGGAATGTAATCGGCCATTAAGCTCTTAATGTTTAGTTTTCTTGATCGATAAATATTTCAAATTTGTTGCATGGATAACTGTAAAATTAGGTTATGTTTACCAGATGTTTTGTCACCACCTGATCTCGCATTCATGATAGTTATTCAATCCCACATTTGTTCTATCGTTGACAGTTTACGATCGCTTAAGAAATTCACATAAAAACTCATGGATTAACGCTTTAATGTGGACGTGTCTTTGATATCGAATTTCTCTCAAAGATGATCTACAAATACGAATAACGCAGAGTTTTGTAGTTTTTGTAAAAGCTATCTCCGCACTGTTCCGCTCTTGTTGTATTTCTCAGCACAAATTAAGAGCTTAATTACACTAATTAGATTTTAGAACGTCTTTAACATCACCACTTTCAAATTGATGTTCGTATCAAACTCTTCCAGGAACGCCTCCAGAACCGACAAATTTTACACATAC